AATCGAACCACTTCTACGTGGCCCTGCTTGGCAGCAGAGTGCAAAGCCGTATCACCACTGGCCATTATGGCGTTCTTGTCAGCTCCAGTGTCAACTAGAAATCGCACTACTTCTGAGTGACCCTGCTTGGCTGCACAAGGGGGGGGTAGCGCTGCGAGTGTCCCAACCTGTCGCGGGTTAAGGACACGCAAAGCCACTCGCTAGGCAGAGTCCTCAGGGAGAGTACAAGCTGCCTGCAGGGTTCTACGCCGTAACGTGTGCTCTTCGCGTCGGATGTTTCCCATTTGTTGAAGAAGGTCCAAACAAGAGTCGAGAGTCATCCCAGGGCCCCACCCTAAACGCGCAGTAAAGTCGGAAACCGGACGCGGTATCACCCGCAGCGCAGCGAAAAGCCGGCAGACCCACAGCACATGATCGATGGAAGGGACCACGGGCTCATGGCAATATGGACAATGCTGAGGACGGACAGCAGCATGGACAGTAGCAGGAGTGGACATGCCCCCCACTAAAACGGCCGCCGCCTCCCCGGACACCCGTTTGACAAGCCCTTTGAGCAATGACCCTATATGCTCGGAGTACTGCAAATTCAGCTCACGGCCAATAGCAGAATCACGTCGTTGTCGATTTTGCAACCAACTGTTAAACTGCCAAGACCGCCAAGACTCGCGGAAATGGTGAAGCATTTTCCCAAAAAGGGCCGGTTGAGACCGGATGTCCAAAAGAACCCCGGACGCGTGCTCCCACACGCCCCACTGGCGAGGAGTCCAGCACCAACGTCTCATCTCAACATTGACTTTACGCAAAATTCTCAAATCAGGGAGAGGAAACATCATCTCAATCCCAAAACGCTCCCACCAGGAGCACAAGGTTGCTAAGACCCTTTGAGTGGCAAGGAACGAGAGATCGCCACGGTGCCCCCAACGAGCCAGGAGTTCAAGATTCCGAGAAGCGCGACCATGTTGGCCACCCATGCAAGCTTTCCGAAACAACACACGCCAAGCTGACGGCTCATGCGTCATGCGACCAGTGATGAGCTGGTTCCAAACCGCTTTATTGGACATCATTGAAGCCGCCACATCGGCGCGAACAGCAATGGAAGACGGCAGCAAACTGATGCGAGAAGCAAGTTTGTTGACTGCCTCAATACGCTCCAATTCCTTTTCATGCATCGCATCGCCACCACACAAGACTGAACCCAAAACAATACCAGACTCATTTGGGTCGTTTAGTGACCAAACTTGCGTCTTAGCAGCATTGCCTCGCATGCGTGAGACGCTTTCAAGTTCAAGCCAGGAGTCAAGAACGCCCTGCACATGCTGCCTGTGCACCAAGGAAGTCCGATCGTCGGCGTACAAATAATGTGAGCCGGGAACTTGATCGCACAATTTTGCGAAAGGAGCGGCCAAAAAACATGCTAAAGCCAAAGGACTAAACGGATCGCCCTGCGGAATTCCCGTCGCGTTCCTCACAGGACACGGGTGCACCGCGCCGTCGAAGGAGAGAAACTTATAGTGAGAACGCCACTGGGCTCGCAACGCATTGAGAACCGAGACAGGGGCACCCCACTGCTCAAGGATCCAAATCGACACCGGCCAACTGCTCTTATCAAAAGCCTTTTCGAAGTCAAGGGACACTCCAGTGTCATGGCCTTCACACTGCTGTTTCACTTGCATATCGAGAAGCAAAACCTGAGGGTTAACCCCACCCGTACCACCCGCATGTCTACTGCTAAATTTTGATTGCAAAGCCTGACCTAGTTGATGCGCCCTCACGCTGGACCACAGCCGGTAGAGCGCAGGGCCGATGGCAATCGGACGCACTTTCATGGTCGACGTTGCACCTGACTTCACCTCCTTGGGGAGGTACACTACTCTCCACGCCAACATGCCATCCGGCCACACGGCATCTGTCTCACATCGTGTGAGAATGTCAACAAGCTGCAACCAGGCTTGGTTTGGGAGAACAAGCAACAAAGCAGCACTCCAGCCGTCACAGCCAGCAGCCGTCTTCTGAGCTTTCTGAGCGGCCTTGCGCAAGTCAGCCACATCAAGTTCCGGCACTGAAAAACCATCACTTTGCAGGATGAAAGGATCATACAACCTACGATATTTGTCAACCGCCAAGGTCTCATCGGGGTCACCACAAAAAATCGGTTGCCAATCCTGAAAAAGAGCTTCAACGCCAGACTGCTTACCGAAAACTAAAGTGCCATCCGACTGCTGAAGCACAGGAGGTGGGGGCGAAGTCTTCTTAACCCAGGCACAGGCGCCAGCCAGCGAAGATACCTGCGCCTTCCAGCGGCGCGCCAGATCCTTCTGCTTATCTTGGATCACCTGCGTGAGGTCCTTTTTTGCCAAAGATTCTAAGCCTGGCCAATCCTCTTGCTGAATAAGCTCCACACCAACAGGAAATGACCGGACCAGAGACTGCACGAGTCGCGGATTGACCTGCCCACGCGTCGCCTGAAAATGAGCTTCGCAAGCTCGTCTGTACACTCGCCGTGCCTGGCGTTCGCGAATTGCCTGCCCAACGCCCTTAGAAGAACCACCCAGCCGAATTTGCGGAGAGCTGCCCAAACAAACTTCACCTTGGTGATCGGACAAAACCTGGTTCAAGGTTAAATATCGTTCAGCCGCCAGATTCCAACATTTCCACAGTTCATTGATGGAGCCGGCTCGCACAAGCTGTTGCCAGTGTTGATGATCGACCGAAACAGACGACCAGGAAACAAGCTCCGAGAAGGGGCCAACAGGTTCTCTCTTAGCTCTATGCCTAGCAAAGCGCATCTCAGGGAGACAAGGCTGCATTTTTGATCTCCACAGGCCGACAAGTAACGCGTCATGATCGGAGCCATATTTGAAGTTTTCGGCAGCTTCACAGTGAGGGTGGAGCGCCGAACTTGCAACAATTGCATCAATAGCGTGGCTTCCCTTTTGGTGAAGACCAGACGAAACCAGTGTACCATGCCATGCCAGGAAGACATCGGCAAACCTAGACGAAGAAACGTCGACGTTCCAATCTCCAGTGAGAATCCACGGCTTATGCGGAATCTCCGCCAACCAATCATTGAGAACACCAAAGATCTCAAAGGTTGACTTGGGACGTCGATAACCTGTGATCACCGTCAACATTTCACAACCAGGGGCCCCAGCAGTAACCATCAGAAGCTGAGCATCAGAGCTGTGAAACGATTTGACAACAATGCAACTCCAAGGGTCTTTGCAAAGGATACCAACACCTCCTCGCAAAGTACCAGCAGGCCTAGGAACGGCCGTCAAGTGCCACCCCGCTTGCCGTGCCGCTTGGCCGGCTCCAGGAATGGCTTCCTGTGCAAGGTTAAGTTCTTGCATGCACACCAATCCTACACGCATCTGAGCCGCCCGATGGAGAAGTTCCACACCATGGGTTTCAAAGGAACTGACATTGGAGCTAATAACGCCAAGAGAGCGCGGTCCAGGATTGGGCTCAACGCCGTCAGCGCACAAATCACGCCACCACTGGCAAGACTGTAAGGGAGGAAGTTTGGCGACCTCAGTTTTCCCAATTCGATAGCTCATGGAATTTTCAAGCAATTCAACCTCAGCCAAGGACAGCGCACACTCCTTGACAAAAGTCTTCAAGTCATCACCGCTCTTCAAGCGCATGCGATGCCACAATTTCCACCTGCGGCGTTCCCAATTCCCCTTACGACCTTTGCAAGGCTTTCCAGGAGAGCAATGCGCCAAGCCTTCAAAATGACGACAGCACTTCTTACAAAGAAAAGCAAACCCTTTAGTTTTAACCGTCCAGTCTTTAGACCTGCAAAGGTCATGACCAGTCAACTTCACAAGCTCGTTCATGCGACCGAGCACCGCTTCAGCATGCACCTTTCGGGCTTTCAAACTCATTTGTTTCAAGCGGTCTTTCTCTTGAATGGACTGCACTCGATTCTGCCGAGGAGTCATGCCAGAGCAAGCTTTCAAGTGACGACGAACAGCCCGTTTGAATCTGTACGAGTTTAGCGACGGCAGGCCAGCCTGACAAGCAGTACAAGTCCACGACCTTTCAGATGCAGGAAGAGCAACGCTGGCAATCACAAGCGGCTCCATATGTTTGATGCGATTAGCAAGTGATCTCTCCTTGGGGTGGGCTCTATCCAAATGATGCCTCCGTTTGTGAGACAGCAGATTCTTCTTCTCAGCCCTCGCAGTATGACCGCACAAGTTGCAAGTCCACGTCAAGTGGTCCAACATCACAGCAAGGTCACGGGTTCCATGAACACGCTGTTTTCCAACCAGGCGCCTTCGCACGCCCTCAAGCCCAGACAAGGAGACCTGCCAAGAAGTACCACCACAAGAAGTTTCAGACTGACAAGACACACGCGGCGGCATCCAATCAGAGGCAGAAGGGGGAGGGGGGGCCGGCAACCACTCAGAAACGGACTCATCAAGAGCGTGGTCTTCTGGGACAGGGGGAAGCCAAGAATCCGAGACAGAACGTTCAGAAGAACCGGCTCCGCGCAACACATCTGTGTCAGAAATCCGACACACAGAAACCGCTTTGGTCCATTCGGCTGGCAAGGAGCAACCTGGTTTGGCGCGCAGAACCTGGTAGTGATCATTCCGAAGGGACAAAACAATGGGTTCACGCAAGTTTCTACATTCTCCAACCGCGATGGGTTTCTCCCAGCCATCTTCTTTACCACCTCGGACAACAACAATACGAGCACCAAGACGCAAAGCAGCCGCGCGCAACGTATGTTGGCACAACCACCGACCAGGTCTCAACAACGCTTTCATCCAAGACTCCCAACAAACAGGGACATCACCGTCTTCCGTGGTTTTGTTCCAGTGGGGATCAGCAATCCACGTTTCACGAAATTCGCGTTGGTGTTCAAGAATATATTGGTGCACCTGCTGTCTCAAAGTGCGGCCTCTCGTGGGCCCCTTGGCCTTGATGCTTGGCTGCACAATGCAATGCCGTCTCACCCCTTGCCATTGTAGTGTTCTTGTCAGCCCGGGCCTCAACTAACAATCGCACCATATCCACGTGGCCATTCTCAGCTGCAACATGAATGGGCACATTTCCATCTATACCTACACCATTTGGGTCTTGTGGTCTGTGGAGAAGCCTCTCAACCTCTTCCAGATCATTTTTCTCACAGCATTTAACCAACATCTGCTGCCTCAAACTGTCAGGAGGACAAAAGTCCAAGATCACAATCTGCACACCATCAGGCAGTGGTATCAAAGGCATGTCATCCTGCAACTCGAGCTCTCCCAAGAGTCTTTGTCGAAACCTTGAATACCCGATCCTATTAGCAAGGACTTGTTTCAAGTCCTTCACGGTCTTATGACTTTCCACCATTTCGCTGTATTCGTCCTCACTAAGTTCGGCCAGGGTGGCGCCGGACACGGCCCGAACCTGCATGAGAGGGATAGTGCGTCTTTGGCGCCCTGCATTAGAGGGAGGAAAGTGAGTTCAACGTACACGAGCAAAGCATCGATATTCTCCCTTCCATGGCGCATTGTGGACCCTACTTGGGTGAAGACTCTATCGAAGCACCGTGGCAAAGCTTACCAACTAAAGCTGCAAAGCATTTACAACTTAGGGTGTTGTTTTTTATTTGTTTTTTTTGTGTGTGTGTGTGTATGTTTGTGTCTGTCTGTCTGTCTGTAAGTAAGTAAGTATGTATGTATGTATGTATGTGCCCTGTCGCATCACGAGGGGCAACAAGTCTCCTTGTTGCTGCAGTAGCTTCGACCACAATCGGACGATTCTGACAGGTGTTTTGAGGGAGCACCCGGAATTCTTTGGAGGAATTGAGAACAGAATCTTTCACGTGTCTGGTCAAACATTTTTCTTGTTTTTAGAAGCTTGGTTTTAATCCAGGGTCATCTTTAAAAACACAACAGGTGGAAGAGTCACTTGCCCTGGCGGCAAAGTCTGAGCCAAACCTACTAGAGATGGCCTCCAACCTACTACCGATGAGGTTTTTGATGGTTTTTGCCCTTACGACAATCTTCAAGGCATTGGAAATTACCACCAGTCGCAAACCAAGGGTCTCCGAGCCAGCTCGCGGAGAGCTACACCCTCTGCTGAACCTCGAAAACAGCATCACCAAGCCCCGCCCCTCCTGCTCTTCTCGCTGTTCTCATAGGAAAAACTCTTGCCACCTGGGAACGTCTTGCAGGTGTGAGAACGTTGGACGACTCTACCGGGACTACGCAGTACGGGGACTCTACTGAGACTGCGCCCTGAAAAGAGTCCGACTTTGGCAGTGTCAACCAAACACCCTTGTGCATGGAAACAAACACTACCCTTTAAAAACACGCACAAAGAAAGAACTTGCTCTTTGGGACTTTGGTAGCTTGAAACATCTGGAAACGCAAGTACGATGTTGCGTTGAACCCACCCGAGGATTCACTTCTTTCTACGTGCCCCGTCACTCAACAAACAAACTTTTGCCTCACCCTCCGTCTGCTGCAAACCTACTAGACCTAGCATCGCGTCTGCCAGTTTCACCACATCTGGGTCCCTTTCTGCGATGCACTCGTTACTAGTGTTCAGTCTCTCTGGGACCTCCCGGCCGAAGCCGCCCCAGCGCTTCCGCTTCCGAGCCTTCAAAGGCGCCACGAACGGCGACGTTCGCGAACGGCGAACCAGCAGGCATCCGAACTGAGCGGAGCAAGGTGGCAAGGCTGCTCTTGGCCGCTCTTGGCCCATCCGTCGGTATCGTTTTGTGTGAATTGGGAGCATGAAGCGAAGCAAGGCTTCCTACCAAACGATTGGGAATATGACTTCATCCCATTAGGCAGTTGCTATTAGGTTGGAGGCCATCGCTATTAATTAGGCTTTTCCTCCGGTCGGTTGCGAAGGTATGGTTTGTTGATGTAAACATGCAAAGAACAGGAAGACCTTCACGACCATAGATACGCAACCCGGAATACTTTAAACATCTTGAAGGAAAAATACACAATGTAAAGAAACAACACCTAGGAGCAAGGATGCTACTAGGGGCTCCTGGCCGTACTACTAGGAACAAGAAGCTACTAGTAACAAAGGGCATCGCTACGAACGGAGCAAGGATGCTACTAGAGGGTCAAAATCGACGATCACTCCACCGGCGGTTCGGCATCGTGGCCGCAGCGTTCGCTTCGCAGTTCGAAGCACGCTTGGGATCCCATGCTTGTTTCTAATAGCTTCTTGTTACTACTAGCAAGGCCCTTTTTACTAGTAGCGATGCACTTGTTCCTAGTAGCGTCCTCTCTTCAAAGGCTCGCGATCTCGAGGCTTCAAGGTCGATTTTGGGCGGGGGAACAATAACTGCCGCAGCATGTCGCGGTCCATGACAACTGTTGCAATCGCATCATCCAAGGATGCTCCATTGAAGCATAAGCTGAAAATCTCACGAACAGCTTGCTGGTCGGCTTCTTCGGCTTCAATCACATCGGGGAACCGGAAATTCTCGCCCACATCCTTGGTATAGTATTCCAAGAACTTGTCGCTGTAAAGAGACCATCAGATGACACGCGCCCACCATGCTGTATGCATTGGCTCGGATCTGCAAAAGGTTTTGCACTTGAAAGGGGGCTGCTGATGGTTCTTTGTCCCACTGATCCTCACAGAAACCAGCACCAAAAGCCAAGGCCTCTAGGAAGCAATCCTTGGCATCACCGCTGCGCCGACCCTTCAGTGAAGCAGCTCCTTCTTCACTCAAGATCTTCTTCCAAGGAATCCAATCCTCTGCGCATGTGCAGTATTCAGCAAAGACATGCTGGGCAACGAGCTTTTCCAAATCGCGCCGCATTGACTCGCGTCAGCCACTGACAAGGACTGGTTGCAACCCACCAGCGCAGTCACTAATCCACTGTTACCATTCAAGTGAGCAGCTGTATCAACGTCTGCGGTAGGTGCTGGCGCAGATTTGCTGGATGCCATAATGTTCTTCCAGAGCGCTTTGAATTTCCCCACCAGAGGATGAAAGGTCCAAGTTGTGTCGGATGCATTGTCCACAGCTTTCTCTGTGACAAGAAAGTGTTGTAAGAATGCCTCAAGTACGCCTTCGTCTTTGAATTGGAAGGCTTCCGAGGATTCGTAGCCCAAGGCAATGAGCTTCTCTTGTACCGCATCTGGAATTTTAGCAGCCGGTAGGGCAGTCATCCAAGTAGGTGAAGTCATTGGCGCAACAGAAGAAGAGCGAACAAGAAGCACGTCAATTTGCTGTATTTCAATAGCCGTGAACAACGACGAACTATAGATGCGAGCTTGGCACAAGCGATAAATCATGCGCATTCGCCATGAAAGAACCACAGCCCAGTCAACTGGGACAGCAACCCAGGGCGTGTGTCCAAGAATATACAGCCCAGTCAACTGGGACAGCAACCCAGGGCATACGCGCGTCCAATAATTGCCTTGTCCATAATTGCCTTTTTATTACATCACGCCAGCCCAGACATAGGAACAAGGCGGTTAATGGCTTGTTTCACTTGGGAAAGCAACCCCAATGTCCACACAGCTGGAAACCTTTTAGTCCAGGATCCGTGTCCCGCAGATCATACCAATCAGAGACCACTGTACCAGGTCTACAAGCAAGACACCAATGGCCTTCTTCTGCATGCTCCTCTGTATTCATATGCACTGTGCGGTGATACCGACCAGTACGCGAGTTGAGAAGCCAAGGCCCGGCGTACTGAGTTGGCTCTGGTACCGCAGACTCATCACTTTCATCTGCATAGCTGTCTGAAGAGGAATGTTCAAATTGCGCCGACCTGCTCTCTCCTTCCTCTTCAGATTCAGAATCAGTGTGGTCTGATTCTTTACGTAATGATGCCAACGCAGCTGCATCTTCCGTGATAGACCATGCAGATAGGCCCCTGTTTAATGGCACGTGTGGGCACCACCCATTGGTCACATTTTTCAGGATTTTGGTTTTGCAAAGCAACTGCGGCCAAACATCATCCCACCCATTTTTTTGGACACGCATGCTTGGTAGGCGATGGTGTCCCTGCGCTGCCCGCAGCTCGCACAAGTTCAATTGCGCCGCCCAACTCAAAGTAGTAGTTTGCAGCTGTGCAATGTGAAGTGTTGCGCCTCAGCTGGTGTCAGGCTTGCATATGTACTCAAGCAGCGCCTCATCTGCGCTAGCATAGAAGTGTAGGTCATGGGAACCCCTCCGCTACCTACCAGGAAATCTCTCAAAGGTAGCTCTGCTTTGCAATTCAATAGGCGCTGGCCCCAATTGCTACCGGATACACCAGCCACAAGGGCTCCAAAGGGCATACCGTGTGAGGCAACTTTTGTGCGCCAACACCAACCCCGCAAAGAACCATCGCGCAATAGCAAAGAGGAGAATTGTAGGCGTTGCGCATCACTCCAGCAGAGCAGCAAGCAACCCAGCAACCAGCTGTCATCCTCATTGCAGTGTTGCACTTCCAGCTCAAGTTTGGCCACCACGCTCAACGGTAAGGGCACTGCTTCCTTGGATGCTTTGGGCTGCCATTTGTCTTGCGCGAGCCATGCTAGAACCAAATGGCTTTTAACACCAGATAGCAGCTTCTGCGCGCCCAGCTTGTGTCCAACTAACTTCATAGCTTGCACGACCGCTTTGGCTTTGCTGGTCCGCTGTGCTCCCCTATCTGCAATGGCTCCCATGGATAATGCTTGGCAAAAATCCAAAATAGTAGCACTGGATGGCTCGCCAAGGTTGAAACCAGATGCGCGAGCAAACTCCAGCCACTTGCGCCAACCGCATGAATGCTTAGACAAAGTAGCGGCAGCCCGGTCTTCCAAAAGAAAGGCTAAGTCCGCCCCCGATTTGTTAGGGATCTCAGAAAGTACATCGCTCTCTGCCCTCAAATCTTCAGCCATGATAGCCCATTCTTGCGCCAACTGCTTGCGCTTCTGATCATCTTGAAGTCGCATAGAGCTGGAAGCCACCCCGACACCTGTAACCCCACTGGCCTGTCGTACTGCAGGCTGCTGATGAGCAGCGCATTGCATCATGGGCTCAGCTGCCAGCTGTTGCACCTGAAAAGGTGAGATGAAGGCCACCCTTCTGTGAGTTGGCCGCGGCTCCCCGGCAACAACTCTTCAACCCTGAACGGGGAAGGTTGCGCGGCCCATTTCATCAGCGCAGCAAAAGAAAGGGAACTCCAGCAAGAAAAACCAAGTAAGAATTTTGCACGCAGAAAACGCCTTCTGCCCCCCAACACACAGCCGTCAAACACTAGGCAACAGCATGATCAATCCTTAAGCTAACTAAGCACCAACCCAGTTCAAGCACGACCCACCGCTCGAGCAACTTTTCCATGGATAGCTGCCACAAGGCTGTGCAAGTCTGAGCAGACTGCCACCACATCATAGCCCCAACTGTAAAGGTGGCAGCATGGTAAGAGTGATGGCACCAAGCAAAGCCTCCCTATCAAGAGTGCCCACTTGCCAACCATGGTGCAGATAGGACATCGGCCAAGTCAAATGCAATCCGCCGAGATGGGGCAAAACCACAGCCCGCTGCCACATTTGGCCCCCATTTCTTTTGGCTTCTTCAATGCCCCCGGCCAGAATGTATGCGAAACCAGCCTCCACATCTTGCATCATCAAGCTTCGAGCAAGCTGCAAATTTTCCCCTGCGCTCTTCCAGGGAGAAGTATGAACTAGCAACGCGTGATCTAGCTCAAAATCACAATCATCAGCCTTGTCCCAGACCTGGGGTGGGGCAATAGGCTTTAGGTTACCTGTTGGCACACCCTCCTTAAGCAACTGAGGCAACTCTGCATCAACATCTGTTGTTGCAAATGACAGGGCTTGCCACGCATCAAGCAAGAATGGTTGGTGAGGGGGGACTGCCGTACTGCATGGAAAACTACGTGCTTGCAGAAACTCGACCAAAGCCTTCTGAAGCAATACTCACTTGCCGAAAACAAGCATTGATCCTTGCCCTCTTGTACCAAAGACCTAAGACGAGGGATGATACCCCAATCCCGCATCCAACTCAAAAATAGACTGCGCAACTCTTTCAACCTATCTACAGGTTCCTGAGGAATCACCCAGCATGCTGTAGACATCACACCACCCCCATCTGCAATGGGAATCCGAACAACTGCTGGCCAATGACGGCTGCGCAAAAGAGGATTGAAGGCCGTGGCCCGCGGGAACTGTAGAGGATTCAGCCAAAGTCCCAACTTTTGAAGGTTGCACATAATTGGATTGAAGGCCCGAGCGCACAGAACCATGCGCTGCTGACCCACATGTAGCAGAAGACTTGGCTTCCGAATTTACACACCCCACACTTGATTTGGATTCAGGCGTCCACACTTGATCCGGGGAGTCCACTTGCAGGGCATCGACATCTAGTCGCTCATGCTGCTTGGCCACTTTGCATTGAGCGGCGTGATGCTTCTCACTACCGCACTGGGCACAGGCATGTTGGAATTTGCATGCTCGGCTCTTGCACTTGCTCTCACGCCAATTGAAACACTCCCTTGGGTTTTTAAACCGGCCGTGACTGCTCCTAGTAGCGATGCCCTTTGTTACTAGTAGAGTCCTTGCTCCTAGTAGTACGGCCAGGAGCCCCTAGTAGCTTCTTGCTCCTAGTAGCGATGCCAGGAGCCCCGAGTAGCGATGCTTGGGATCCCATGCTTGACCAGTGTTCACCGCCGTCTGGTGCTCCTTGGTGTTCACACGATGGCAAGCGCCAGAGAGACTGCACGGTTCAAAAGCGGGCTTCTGCCACACCTAAATTTGCCTGGTTGGACGAAACACCCTGCAGCATTCTACAACCTACAGAAAGGGTCCCAGCAGCTTCTGGCTACACCCAAGTCTGAAAAGAAAACGTCATCAGGCCAGCCTCTCTTTAGATCCTTTCTGACACGCCGCTCGTTTCGGTACGCTCCTCAGCGAGTGCTTTCAGCTTGCCCGGGACCTCTTGGTTGCATTGCCGCAGGGCATCCACCATGTCCTGCGAGAAGCGCCGTGAGAAGCACCTGCTCATCAACCCGCTTGCGACCCGCTTCGACTCGGATGAAGTAAAGAGTTCCAGCCAAGAAGCTACTAGTAGCAAGGCACCTTACTACTAGTGCATCACTACTAGGAACAAGAAGCTTTTTAGTATGTCTTTGAAGCTTTCTAGTAACTAGAAGCTTCCTTGGGAATCGTTTCACCTGTAGTAACAAGAAGCTTCTAGATCAAGGTCCAGACCTGATCTACACCAAAACTATGCTGTCTGGCAATTCCTGGTGTGGCTTTCGTTGATATGATGTATATTGTATGGGTACAGGATGTGGAAGGCCTGGAACAAAACATCTCTCACCTAGGTACTTGGAAAGGAAGGTGCCATGTTCCGCTCTTGTTTGTGAACATCACACCATCAATGATGAACAAGAATGGCCGGGTCCCTACCAAGCTCGCCCAATGAATGCGGCGCTAGGTGGCAAAGAAGATTTCTAGACACATCTACGCGACTGAAACTCTACCACTTACTACTAGGAGCAAGGACGCTACTAGGGGCTCCTATTCGACCAAACGATGATGAATCCTTTGGGCGCTCAAAAAAACTGCACCAGCCTGAAATCTGTCTGCCACATAGGAACAAGAAGCTACTAGGAGCAAAGGGCATCGCTACTAGCAGCAAAGACGCTACTAGTAGCTCCTGGCCTTACTACTAGGAACAAATAGCTACTAGGAGCAAAGGGTATCGCTAATGGTAGCAAAGACGCTACTAGTAGCTGCTGGCCTTACTACTAGGAACAAGAAGCTACTAGGAGCAAAGGGCATCGCTACTAGTAGCAAAGACGC